TGAATGTCAACAAAGGAATTTCAAAAAGAGGCTGCAGGTGAGATTTCTGAATCCCAATTTAAATCAGTAGGTTTAATTGTATTAACCACAGATAAGATATCACACCTTTCTTATCTTATTTTTTACCTGTAGAGTTTGCAAGGCAAGAGGAATTAGAAATGGTTTCCCATTACCAGCCTCTGCATATGACCCTGTTACTCCCTGGTGGTCTCCCATCCACATACTAACCATGGCTGACCCTACTTAGCTTCCAAAATCTGACAAGATTGCCCTAGCCTGGGCTATCCAGGTCAGGGCTCTTATCCATTACAGGGGTTAAATTACTCATCATAACCTAGGTAAACCATGATATCGCTGAATACAATGGTTATGTGCAGTCAGTAAGCTTATCAGATATATTTTAAAATTTTGCATAGAAATGTCATTTATTTAATGGCTGTTTAATGCTGTGTTCCACATCCCCCCCACACCTGTGAGTTTATGTATCTGAATAGTAAAGTTTCAGTTCAGGCATCTGATGAAGTTTTTATATTAGTTAATTTATTATTTTACTTGTACGCCAGCGCAAGCCTCTGATGAGGCAGCACAGAAATCTCCTAAATAAATTCATGAATAAATAAGTGGGCCCTTGCCTGCAGACATTTATGATACAATAAGTATATTCATATTTAAGGTGCCACAAGAGCCCTTTTATTTTTTGCTGCAACAGATGGCTAAGGCTACCCCACTAGAATGTTGCTAAGATTCTGCAGTCCCGAGTCCCCAGTCACTTGAATTAAACCGGGCTTGCTTTCTACATTCTCTAGAGCTGGCCTAGACATCCCTTGAACCAGCTATGTACTGTGGCTTGCATGGTGTGCGATAAAGCCTTGAAGCCAAACCAGAAGTGTATAAAGCTCTGGGAAAATGCCATATGTGATTGCCTTGGCATGTACGGCCTGCGGATTGTAGAGGCCTGTTCCCAGGTAATAAGTGTCTAAACTTATTATGGCAATGGGCCAAGAGTGCTTTTATTGCAGATAGTTGCCAGTTTCTGTCATTTACTGTAAATGTAATGTGATCATTCTCTAGAACATTTACACTGTGGTTTAAGACAAAAATGTCTGACTACCGAAATTCAACGCTCTTTCCTGACTTCCTGGCAGCTTGCTGTGAAAACTGGAATAACACCTTAATGTGCCAGTCCTTTCAAACAACAATAAAAAGTATTTTCATTCACAAATGTCTTATATCAGTATCCCACATAAAAAGTACATTATATAAAACAGTAGTCTCTTTAGAAGTAGCAATTTACCCTTCAAACACAGAGGTGTTAGTGACAGGCTTCACTATAATAGCTGCGCAGTTGGTAATGAGGTAGAAAGCTCAGAAAGACAAAGGACCTCGGTGAAGCCTCTGCTACTGTCAAAGATCTAGAATGGTGTCACAATTGTACCTTAATATAGGTACGGCTGCTCATATCCTGTCATTACCCCCAAATTTTAAAAAAATACCAAGGAAAATTATATTCTGCACTCTAAAAAATGTATACAAATTAACAGAACATACTTGCTTTGCTGAGTGTGCAGGCTATGGTCTGAATCCGCTATTTAGCATTTGGAAAATGTTTACTGTGGTGATAGGAAACGAGGTATAGGATGGGCTCTGTTGGTTTATGGGGTAGAACAGAAACCTGGAAGAAGTACCGGAGCATTGAACACTTTTGCAGACACTGGCTGCCGTCATATTTTAAAATGTACCCCACAAACATAAATGTCGTTCACAGTTACAAAAACCAACCACTAACAAACCAACCATACAGCACAATAAGAAGGGTTTTATAGGAAGAGAGGCAGGAGAGGGAATGAGGAAGGGCAAGCAGACATGCCATTGATAAAATTCAACTAACTATTGCCAGGCTAGGGCCCTCTAATAAGTCAAACTAGGCCCTGTTCATACGAGGCGTTTTGGGCCGGGAGAGGGACGGAACGGGGGCGGAGCAAACAGGCGCGATCCCACGGCAACATCTGGGAATCGTTGCCTGCCCGTCCCTGTTCCGTCCCAAACGCTGATACCGCGCAGCAAAAAAACACCACCTACCTAGGTGGTTGTATCCCTTGAAGCGGCTCAAGGCGGGCCGTGGGATCGGCCGGCGCGTCCTTGCGCCGCCGCATCTCGGCCCCCAGCCATACTGCGCATGCTCCAGCATGCGCAGTTCGGCAGCCTCCCCCTCCCATCGGACTCTTGCTCCCCGGCATCTGATCGTGCCGGGGAGAGATGCGCCGCGGCTGAGGGGATCTGTGGGATCCCGCCGCGGCGTCTCAAGTTCGGTGCGGCTCTGATTAGCCGCGTTTCAGCCGTCCCATGTGGCAGGGACCCTAGTCTTCTTTTATGCAAAGATTCTTCCCCATCAGTGTGATGTAGTGGTTACAGTGACTAACACGCAGGCTTGAATCTCCACTCAGCCATGAAAAACTCACTGGGGGACTAGTAGGGTTGTGGAAAGGGCTCGAGGAAAAAAAAAAGTCCTGTCCCTTTCATAAAGGCTTAGCATGCGAAAATTGGCAGCTGTGGCAAGTAACATCACCCAATAAATATCACCTCACCGCATCTCTGTTAAAAGGACAGGACATTTTTTCTCAACAACCTTAATGACTAGTCACTCACTTTCGGCCTAGCCTACTTTTAGGCAACTGGCAAGAGCTTGAGGGGTGAGGACATGGAGGGCAGGCTATGGTGCATGCACCAAGATGCCACTTCTGGGGAAATTTGGAAGTGATATCTGGTAGGTCTAATAATTGTGGAAACTCCATAGTTTTACCATAGAGTTTCCAGTGATGCCTAGAACTGCCACTGACACTTCTTGGTCTCCCCTGGAAGTAACGTTATGGCTCATGTGATGCCAACTTTTTAAAAAAGGTTCTGCCACCACAGAGCAGCAGTGGGCACTGCCAGCTGCTGGCAGGAGGCCTCCCTCCATAGCAGTAGATCTGGCAACCCTGCCTACTTTACGAATTATTTTGAGATTCGAATGGAGAAAGAAACCTTGCACCTCCCTTGGAATACGAGTAGAATTAAAATGTGACAGATTATATTGAAAATACAACCCTGTATTTTCTTTGTGCCTAAAAATATAAACTTGGGATGGTAACCTAGTTGTAGTAAACATTTCTGGAATAAATCACGGAAAAAGTAAACACTTTTGACATCCTTATACTATCATTAACAAAATCTTAACCAGCTTCAGTGGTTTGTTTGGGAAATTCCTGTGGTGGGGTGGGGCCATATAACTATCTGCAAGCAGGAGGAGGTAAATCATGTCTCATGTTTAATAAATGGTACTTTTAGAACTGTGGGGGGGGGGCACAGCTTTGTGGTCCTTAATCAGCAAACACATGAGTGTTATGCCCTTTAATGTCCCCATTTTATTTCCATCATCAGTTTAGTGGGCAAGTGTAAACGCTGAACACAAACACAGAATGAAGCAGCTACCGTGCGTCCTGGCTGTCAGATGGAAGAGGGCTAGCACACTTGGCTGTCTGACTTGTCTGCTCACATAGCTGGATAAAAGAGATGGGATGGCCTCCAGCAAGAGCCGCATCTTGCTTACTTTGCAGCAAGAGCAGTATACAAAGGCAGATCTCTGGCATCCACTCAGCGTAGGAATCAAGCTTCTAAATAAACTCAGAGGAGGAATCTCCTCATCAGCTGCATTGGGTCATATTTTTCCAAGGTTCTTGGGCCAAAGCCACTTTGCAGGCAACACATTTCAACTCCTTTATTTGTTTAGACTTTTAAACGTTCTCTTGCCCCCAGAGTATAGACCAGATACTATATACTGCAAGGACACACTGCTCTTGGAAGCACTGCAGCCAGGTGAACCGTCATTTCTACTTCCCTCCCCGGTCCTGTGCAGTTCAGTAAGATTTAGTCTGATCACCTGTGTCTTTTCTCAACAGTAAGTGCCCCTCAGTACGTATGATGGATCTGACAAGTATTTGTTGATAGGATTGCAGCCTTATTTACATGCTACTGGTAGTGTGCATAGAATTGCTGCTCTAGTTTGTATACTGTCAAGTATGGATTTTGGGAGCGGTAGTTATTAAGTAAGGGTGTGGTTTTGTGTATGCGTCTTGGAGAAGGTTTTCCCCAAGATTCAAATTAAAGCTGTTTCATTGTCAAGCCCCTTCAAGATAAAACAGAGCGAGTAGAAAACTACACGAAAAGGGGTGGGGTGGGATGGGGGGGGGACGACAAGTTGATTGCAGTGTAATTTCCTATGCTAGCAATACTGTTGGGGAGGCCAGACTCCTAGTGAAATTGACTTCGAATCTCACAGTACACTCCAAAAGAATAATCTGAAAAGGACAGCATAGGATCCGGTATTCTTTGGCCCGTAAGGTTGGAATCCAACGCCTATTTGCTAGGGGGACTCAACGGTGGAATCCTATAGAAACCCACTCCAGTTTAAACTCACAGGCGGCCAAAATTGAAGCCCGCACTGTCACTCAGAAGAACTTGGTTCAACATGGTTAGGATCGCGACGCATGACTAATTTGCGTTAGTCATCTTGGGAAATGCCAAGGCCCTTTTGTTTTGTTTTGCATATTTCACCTTCCTGTTCAAAAACTTACTTCCCAACCTTTCCGCCGCTACCAAAACTAACCGCTCGTAACGACCCACGCGCTGGCGATGAGAGACGCCCCCCTTCCCCACATCCCAGCCTGTTTCCAGCGCGCCGCGCTCCCTTTTTGTTGCACTCCATGCCCGCCAAAAGGCTTCCGTGCCATATATTTTTAATTAGAAACTCCATTTATATCCGCCCGCCTTTCTCTGCCGCTTCGGTTGCCGCGTTACAAAGTCTCCCGGTGCCTCCCCCTCCCGCACGCTCCCCTTCGCCCGCTTGGCCCGGCGAGTTTGTTTGCGGGCTTGCAAAGTCCGAAGAGGCACCCCCCCCGCGCTCTCTCCGCCGCCCCCCGCACTCCTCGCGAGAGGGGAATGCAAAAGGGGGACGGGCTTACCTGGCAAGCGCGGCTGGAAGAGACCAACGAGAGACGACGAGGAGGCTCCGGCGCTTCCGAGGGCGAGAGGCGGCCTGTGTCCTCAAATGACCCGGCTGGCTGGCTGGGAGGGAGGGGGACAG